ATATGGTACATCCACATGCTTCCTGTGTCAGATATACAGGAGAAATTACCACTTCAATCCAATGGATATTAAAGTCAGCTTACGCTTTATCCATACAGCAGAATTTAGTGCCAGAAGCTAGTTGCTGTTATGTTCAATCTGTTGCACTCAAAACAGTCTTTGAGTACCCTTAAAGACCAGCTAATTCATTATAGCACAAGATGTTGTGGACTATGATAATTTCATAATTAGTTGCATAAAATAATAGCCTTGAATTTCAAGTTATGTATAGATACATGATTAAAAATTATAAACAGAGCAACTCCTAACAGCTCCATACATCTCTCACATCCTTTAGTCCCATAGTGTTTATTCAGGAGCAGAGAACAATCAACTAAGTTTCTAATTCCCACAGGAAAGTGATGAGCCCAGCTTCCATTTCTCTGTCTGAAACATAATCCAGATAGTCCAGACTACAGTAAAATCATAATTAATCATCATAAATTAAGTTTGAAGTTATAATTAGGAATCCACTCCAGTACCAAAGTCTAATTTAGTAAAGTTGTTAAAGTAAAAGACAGTGAAGAAAAACAGTGAAGTAAAAAAAAAAAATAACAGCATAGAAACAAGGTTTATACCAGGAGAGTTGTATACTGTATCTCTAATAGTGAAGGCAGTGAAATTCTAGGCTGCACTAACAGAGGAATAGAATCAAAATCATGTGAAGTGTTAATAGCACTTTGTAAGGCCAAACTTGGAATACTGCATCCAGTTTTGGTCACCACAATGTTTTCTAGAAAAAGTGCAGAGAAGAGTAACAAAGATGATTAGGTGACTGGAGGCTAAAACATATAAGGAACGGCTGCTGGAATTGGGTATGTCTAGTTTAATGAAGAGAAGGATGAGGGGAGACATGATAGCTGTGTTCCAATATCTCAGGGGCTGCCACAAAGAAGAGGGAGTCAAGCTATTTTTCAAGGCACCTGAAGGCAGGACAAGAAGCAACGGATGGAAACTAACCAAGGAGAGAAGCAACCTAGAACTAAGGAGAAATTTCCTGACAGTTAGAACAATTAACCAGTGGAACAACCTGCCTCCAGAAGTTGTGAATGCTCCAAGACTAGAAGTTTTTAAGAAGAGATTGGACAAGCATTTTTCTGAAATGGTACCGGGTTTCCTGCCTGAGCAGGGGGTTGGACTAGAACAGGGGTAGTCAACCTTGGCTCTTTTATGACTCGTGGACTTCAACTCCCAGAATTCCTGAGCCAGCTGTGCTGGCTCAGGAATTCTGGGAGTTGAAGTCCACGAGTCATAAAAGAGCCAAGGTTGACTACCCCTGGACTAGAAGGTCCTTTCCAACTCTGTTATTCTAAATTCTAAAGGCAAACAAAAATACATTAGAATCCTTTAAGCATTCCATGATGTGTTTGGGGCTTACCAAAAGTGGATAAGCGGGGAGCACTTGTGGTTAGACATTTTGCCATATTCATGATGGATGGCTAATCAATGATCAGGGCTTTACATATTAAGGGGTACCCAAGGAAAAGGCCTGGTAACAGTAGGATTCATCTAGGGAAGATGACAATTAGTAAAGCTGTGGCTAAACCTTTCATCTTGGAATTTTACCTTAAGTGTCTGAAAGGGATGTTTTTGTGATTAAATAAGTTGCAATCAGTTTTTTAAAAAAAAATCTGTATTGGGCTATAGATTTAAAAGATGATTACTTACACAGGCAGATTCTAAAATAAAGCTAAGCAAATAGAGACAAAATAAGGACTTAACAATTACCCACCCCTCAACTTAACACAGGTTTGGATTTCCCAACTGATATATCTCATTGCAAAAATTATCAGTTTAAATGCACAAGGATTATTTCCCATCAGAATGGTCATTTTGTGTAATGCACATTCACGCATCATGATTATCAAAAGAGAATTGCAAATGACATTTAATTATATATCCCACAATAAGCTTTGAGCCACTTCAAATCAGGCACCCACATGACCAGGAAAGCATGCAAGAGAATTGAAATAAATGGAAAAGAATATGAAACTTAAGATCTGTATCACACATTTTACTTGTCCAGAAGTCCATCCTTTATGATAGAGGTTCCTAAAACTTTTGCCTTTAGTGTAATCTTAACATATACCCCCCCACCAAACACAGAAAGGAACACAAATCAACAATGAAAACAAAAGTTTAGGAAAGGTAGATTTATTGGAACAATATAATGAAAAAGTTCTTCACTCCTCCCCTGAACTCTTGTCTGTACCTTTCCCAGGAAGATATACCTCACAGTATGGGACATCCTGCTTTATGAGGTGGCTCTGAATCATGTGTGTCCTAATTCTTTTTTTTTTTTTTTGGAGCAGTGAGACACAATGTCAGCAACACAGAAACCCTTGATAAGAAGACTTGTGGTTTGGATGTATCCTTCCTTTCTGTTTCAAAATATTTATTTTATTTGAAAAAAATACAAAGGATAGAGACAGGAGAAAAAGAAAGAGATGCTTTCAAAAGCCTTTGCAGCAAATATAAGTACAATTACAAAAATTACCTCTTACATGATGATTATTCTTTTTCTTGTTCACTTTTTTCCTAATCATTAAAACCACCAATTATAAATGCATTTTTTTCTATTTCGTGCAAAAAGTCTATAAGGGGTTTCCGGTGAACCATAAATGTTTCTCAATAGCCAATGAAATTAATTTAGCTATCTGTGCAACTTCCATCATCTTCACCAACCATTCCTCCGTTGTAGGTTGATATGCTACTTTTGAGCATATAATAGTCTCACTGTTGTTATCATATATAAAAACAAGCTTCCATGACTTTTTTCTAATGCTTATCCATGAGTCCCAATAGGCCTTTTCAAAAGTGTTAACTTTTAAATTCTAAGCAACTTTGTGTACATGGAAGAGTATCATTCCTTTATAGAGCAACATGGATTCTAAGGTCATTTTCTAAGGATGCTTTCCAAGTACTCCTGCCAAATGATTTTTTTTTAAATCAGTGATGCTACCTGGGTTAAGGTATGTCCTTCTCTTCTTGGAAAAGTGGAGATGATGCCTACACTGTGGTCTACAGTGGATCAAATGAAGACATTTTTATTCTTCCAGGCTCCTTAGTCTTTTAATATTTCGCTTTAAAAGTTATTAGCCTCATTTAGATTCTTCCATTCCTATTAGCCCCCCCTAGCTGTTTATTTTGGATTTATTCTGAGACTGCTTTATTTGTTTAATGTTTTACATTAAGTTTTATTATATCTGTATATTTTATGGTCTCCACCATTCATTTCTGAAGTGCCCAGAGAGCTTTGGCTATTGAATGGTGAAGAAATTCAATAAATAAATAAATACATTCGGAGAATACCATGGGCAATGTTTTATAGTATGAACAAAAACAGCTTGCATCAAGAAATATTCCTTCCCCTTATGCTCCTATAACAGATGATTAGCAAGAGTGGATTGACTGCCTTGAAATTATTTTCCCTAATCCTCTTTCTGAAAGGAGAAGAAGATCTCTTTTCTTGGATATAATTTGGCTGAATTTCCAAGTAGAATACCCATTTCCTGGCAGAGGCGCCATAATTACAAAATCAAATGCAATCATTAAAGCAGCAACATTTTCTTGGCATCTATTTCCATTGCTCTTTCCTCCTCCAGAACCTACCTCAACTGGAATGAAATTGCATCCCAATCCTATGGAAAAGGTGAATGCAAAGAAAAATGCCAGGCACCTGCTGCCCTCTTTGATTTAAGAATCATCTTTCGGGACACTCCCTGCAGGGCAACCTACACAATTCCTCTCAGACTGCTGAGATAGCAAAATGGCAAACTTTCCAAGGAGTTCTCCATGGCAACTTGAAACCAATCCTTTAACCATTACCCCGACCTTCGCCTTCAGTCTTTTGAATTGTCTTATTTCATGCACGTGTGAGCAGAGGTAATACTAAAAATGAGTTCAAAATGACATTATTCACTTTCATTACAGCTGGGAGGCTCTGAGAACTAGGAACCTCTGTCTTAGTTTAGTTTTTATAGTTTTTAATGCTTTTAAACCATTATTATATAATGTTTATAGATAATGACTGTTGTATATTTCTACATTTTTATTGGACTGCTGTATGCTACCCAAAATTGCTTTCTGTGAGATGGGTGGCCATATAAATTTGATTAAATGTATGAAGGAATAAATGACAAGAACAGGGCATCCACACATGAACTTGATCAGATGGGGCTTGCTTTCAGAAATCAGGGTGCTAGAAACTTACAGAAATTGCAGATGGGAAAGGAAAAGAAAGGTAATGGAAAATAATATGATGGGTCCTTGGTGCTCTCTGAGCTTGCTTGTTTTCTTGCAGACACTTCATTACCCAAACTAGGTAACATCATCAGCTACCAGCACTGATGATCTTACGTAGTGTGGGTAATGAAATGTCTGCAAGAAAACAAGCAAGCTCAGAGAGCATCAAGGACCTCTCTTGTCAATCCTGAGGTACAAATATTCTATTTATTGGAAAATAATGTGGAAAGAAACATCAGATGTGAGAAAAAAATGTTTTTAATTTTTAGTGGAACAATGTTAAAAGCTGGATCCTGTAAAACGTTCTTCTAATTTTTGGTGTATCTTAGGCGCAATGATAGATCAACCCATATTTGGAGACATATGCAAGCATAACATAGGATCTACAGTAAGAATAATGTTATGTCACCTCAGTAACACCTCTTGTGCATAGATGTAATAGGAAATGAGTTAGATCTGCACATAATGGCGTAACATGCCTGATTTTTTTTTTAAAGGATACATTTGTGAGAAGGATGTTTGATAAACGTATTAGACAGCTTTTCCAAACAGAATACCTTCCTAGTGTATTGGAACTGCAATTGCCAGCATTCTCAGCCAGAATAGAAATTTTAGCTCAATATACGTCAGTTTAGTGAAGCTTACGTTAAACGAAAGGAATAGGAAAAAGGAGCCCATGACAGGGAGATCAGAGGAGGCCACTCAAAGAACATTACCTTAATGTTGTCTTGCCATCGATGGGCTTTCTGAAACTTCTCTGCTGCATCAGCCAGTCTCTGAAATGAAAGAGAACAAACAGTATGAGTCCATAAAGAGATAGCATGAATTGCAGCAATGACCAAGGACTCATTTTAACTCTGCTCTTTCACATGGCAAATCAGCTATATCATTCTCCCAGCTTATTAAGTAGCAAAACATTTTCAGCATCCTTACTTGGCAGCTCGGCTGTGAAAAGACATTAATTAAAAATTTATGATTTCCATAAACATCTTCTATATGCAGCTCTGATCTTTCTTAATTAAATGCTCAAGCTATTGGAAAACCTTGCCTTTCGTTACTTTTATGGGATCATTTTACTTCTGTATCAGTGCAGTAGGGCTCTACTGATAGGTACAAATAAAGCTAAATAAATTACAATCAGTGGCATACCGAGTGCAATGGAGAAGCCAATCTTCAGAAATCTCATGTTCAAAGTCCAAATCTTGAGGCCAAGTTGATTAACTGATGAGGCTTGAAGCCGGCTAACATATTATTTTTATTTTTGAGTTAATAATATTGTCTTGATCGATTTAATGCCTTGCAGTGTCCTAACAATATAAGTATGATTGGAGAAGAAAGCAAAGTATGAAATGGTCATTTTATCCTCCACAGTCAGCCTGGAGCTGGGCAGCACCAAACAAGCAACTGAGCCCTGCATATTTCTCTGAAATTGGCTTGCTAATTTAGTAACAAGGCCATATGATTCCAACCTAAGTAGGAAACAATAAGGCTTTTGCCTGGCTACAGCCCAAGAATTGAATGTGGATGTCTATGGTAGTCAGCTGTGGCTCACTGAAACCACGGCTAAAGGAAAGACCTGTGATTCCTTATGCTGTTATGCAACTGTATGGAACGCTATAACATATTTTTCTATTGTCTTATAGAAGTATCCACTCAACCTGCTGAAAGACTCAAAATCAATGTATATGATAAGAGATTTGCAGAATTAAGTCCATTTGCTAGCAGGAATGTATAGCCCATAGAGCAGTGGTTCTCAACCTGTGGGTCGGGACCCCATTTGGGGTCAATCGACCATTTCATGGGGGTCGCCAAGCAAGGCTGTCCGCCATTTTTTTTGTCCGCCATTTTTTTCCCTTTTCCGGCGGGTGCCTTACCTCCCTTGGGCTGGGCCAGCTGGTGGTCAGCCTGCTCCGTCTCTGCCGCTTGCCAGCTACGCCTCGGCCAGTGCAGGGGGCGGAACCATGCATGCGCGGCGCTCCCGGGCAGGGAAAGTCCTCGACTTACAACCGGTTGGGTAGTCCTCGACTTACAACCGGTTTAGTCCTCAACATATGACCGGTTTAGTCCTCGACTTACGACCGGTTGGGGTCGCGGCATTAAAAAGGTTGAGAACCACTGCCATAGAGCTAGGACCAAGCCATTATACTGACTTACCACTAAAACAAAAAATCCTTACCTACACGAGCTCACTCACTTTAATTTGGTGGTTGTAAAATAGAATGAATTTAGTCTGACACCCTTTTCTTTTTCTTCACTTTGACAGATCATTTTCACCAAATTCAGTCTTCGAGAAGAACTAGTATGTGTATGTATGTTGAACTTCCATTCAATTGCAATGTACCAGCCATCCAAGAATGCTATTCAGTAGTGGAGATCAAGAACTTAGGTAACATTCTAACATTCTTGTAGCAAGAACATTTAAAAACAGCCCCACCAGTTCTCCTCAAGAAGGATGTTAATGTATGAGATATGAAAGATATAACTTGTCTCCCCCACCCATTCACACAACACATATGAACACATATATATATACATTTGAGAGTTGGTATTGTATAGTAGTTAATGTGCTACACTAGGAACAGAGAGACTGCTATTCCACATTGCTCAAGCAAAGGCTCTGCACAAACAATGCATTTTTTTTCTCTTAGGCATGAAACACTCACTTATAATCAATGTTTTATGTGTCTCGGGTTCTTTAGAAATATCAACACCTTTCAGAAGGGCAATTATCCCAAAGGAACATGCAACAGTCATAAACCCAATTTAGAACAATATATCACAAGATTCCATAAAACAAAACACAGAAGCTGTAAAATATACAACAATTAACCTGAGGCCAACCAAAACCATGCTTCCTAATATTCAAATTAAAAACAAAGCAAAATATTTTTCCTTAATGTTGCAGAATTTTTCTCTCTCAAAGCAATGCAATATTGCTGCTTGGACTTTCCCAATAAACAATCCAAAGGCTCCATCTGGGCTGGGAGAGTCCAAGCAATCTCTCTTCCAAGCAAAGCAAATGTTCTTCAAGCTGCTTTTTAAAAACTGCTTGTTGAAAGGCTTCCAAAGTGCAGAGGAGAGAAGCCTTCAGAAGAGGAATGCCAATTTTTTCCAGGAAAGGAGAAGACTGTCCCTTCCCATTTTTCATCTTTTTTCCCCCAACCCTTTATAAGCTCAATAAGACAGATACGACATAAAATAGGCACTCTCACAGACACCATGAATCTAAATTTTGAAGAGCTTTAAAAGTGATAACCAGCATTCTGTAATAGCAATAGCTCTTAGACTTATATAATGCTCCATAGTGCTTTACAGCACTCTCTGGGTGGTTTACAGAGTCAGCATATTACCTCCAACAATCAGGTCATCATTTTATCAACCTCAGAAGGATGGAAGGCTAAGTCAACCTTGAGCCAGTCAGGATTGAACTCCTGGATGTGGGCAGAGTTAACCTGCAATACTGCATTCTAACCACTGCACCACCAGAGTTCTTAATGTACTGGAAGCAGACTGGCAGCTAGTGCAACTCCCATTGTTGACATGTTACAGTACATGGCTGTCCTGACAGTCTTGAACTTATAAGCTGTCCTAGATCCTATCTGAAATTCCCCAGAACCAGAGGTCTGGGCAAATCAATCTCCAACCCATCTGGGATATCCAGCAGTTCATTCTTCCCCAACCTAGAAAATGCTGATCACTAATTCTGGGAGTCAAAGATACCACACATGTGGAAAGCATCAGGAATGTTAATCTACGCATTGGATCAAGATTTTTTCCCGGAAGTGATGTGGTTAAAGATATCATAGCAAGTTAACTACTTTATTAAATGAAAATAAACTAGTATATATTATCAAAGAGAAGTCTGGGTCTATGATGATTTGCATGTAGGAAGCTTATTTTCTTTCTCAACAAAACTTCCTTTCTCCTTCCCTCCCTCCCTCCCTCCCATCCTTCCTTCTTTATTTTCCTTTTGCATCTGCTGAAGCAGTGATATGAATTTTGGTTCAGATACATTCACTTTAGCACTCATCTGCAGACAACTTGTTCCAGGTCTTTTCAAATATTGTCATTTCATTGTCTCTTTAAGCTTCATAGAAATGTATAGCGAAGCATTTCAGAAACATCTCATGGTAGACAGAAAAGTTTCCCATAATCCCATGGACTAAGGAAAAGTAGGAGAGCTGGGAAAGAAATAAATTAAAAGTGCAGAGAATTGATTTGTGTAACACATTTACTCTGAAATAGCAGTGCTTGTTCTTTATTTTTAATTAAGCTAAAAGGTATGAATATACTGAGGCCATGGACTTCCAAAGGGATCAATTTTGCCTCAGGAAGTAAATTAAAAACAGAAAGCGCAATAAATGACATCCTGCTTGAGGTACCAGTCAGACTCTACCTTGATTCAGAGGAATATATTTTCACATAAGGAGAATAATTTCCGCCAAGCTAGTTGGGCCACTGGCTCTTGGGATCCAACTTTGCCCTCAGGCAGTGAGAGCTAAATGCATTTATATCATAAAGATGTAACCACGTGAGAACTAAAGTTTAGGCACTTCTGTAAGCAAACACAAACTCACAGTTGTTCATTTCCCCACAGAGCAAGCCCATCCTTGGCTTCTTTCCACAAGGGAAATTATATTCAGACATAATAATAGAGCCCTACATGGCAAAGTAAAAGAGTAATTAAAACTGCCATGAATTAACAATTAACAGTAGAAACTGAGGGTAGAGATAAAATTACAATTGTATTAGTAATGGATAGATTTAATAAGCAAAATATTCTGCATTCAGCTGAAAACAGTCATTGGTTTGATTTGTGTTCTTGTGTGTGGTGGTAGAGTAACAATTTTTTTTTTGTTTCGCCTTAGCACTTCAGTCTCACTCTTCAAAATGCATTTGAAGATTTTTGCAGGGGAGGTGTTAAGTGAGTTTTGCCTCATTTTACAACCTTTTTGTCACAGTTGTTAAGTGAATCACTGCAGTTGCCAACTGATTCATGTGGTCCTTAAGTGAATCTGGCTTCCCCCATTGACTTTGCTTGTCGAAAGCTGGCTGGGAAAGTCACAAATGATGATCACATGATCCCAGGACAGTGCAACTGTCATAAATACTTGCCAGTTGCAAAGTATCCACATTTTGATCACGTGACTATGGGGATGCTGCAATAGCCATTAGGGTGAAAAACGGTCATAAGTCACTTTTTTCAGTGCCGTTATAACTTTGAACGGTCACTAAACCAATAGTTTGTAAGCCAAGGGTTGTCTGTAATAATGATACGAATCATAGGGTCCAAGACAGTAAGCCTCACAATTCAAACAGTTGTGAAGCAAAAACAACAAGAACCTGTTTTGCTTGTTCCTTCCTCAGGGCCTGTGAATGGCAACAGCCAGAAGAAACTTGGTGGGATTTTGATAGAAACATAAGAAGAGCGCTCCATGGCAATGGACCTAGGTATTTGCAAGACCGCCTCCTACCAAATATCTCCCTTCGACCAGTCTGCTCCCACAAAGAGGGCCTCCTTAGGGTACCGTTGGCCAGCCAATGCCGGCTGGTGACCCCCAGGGGGAGAGCCTTCTCTGTGGCAGCTCCTGCCCTCTGGAATGACCTGCCCCCCTGACCTACGTACAATTGCGGACCTGCGCCTCTTCCGCCGAGCCCTGAAAACTCATCTGTTCCATGCGGCCGGCCTGGCGTAGTTTTGATTGGGTTTTGTATTTGATTGGGGTTCTATATTTTAGAGCAGGCTTTTATGTAATATTTACTGTGATTTTTATTA